TCTTTCCCTTTACACAATTGGCCTCTCTTTTTCCCCAGATGGTAACAAAGACTTCAGGTGACAAAAGAAGAAAGGCCTTTGCCCCAGGACAGAACAAGTGCATTTCCCTGTCCTTTTAGGGGAGATGTTCAAGTCTTGCTTGGCCGCTTGTTTTGCTGGATGGCGTTTCTGAGAAAGTTGGGGTGGGGAATGGGAACTGGGCCCCAATCCCTAGGCCCCTGCCACCAAACCAGGTCACTGCAACTGTTATCCTCAGCCCAGCCTTTCTTTGACAAATGAAAACACGCGAAGCTGCCTTATCAGTCTTGTCTACTCAGATTGGCAGCAGCTCTCCAGGGTCTCAGGTGGAGTTCTTTCCCATCACCTCCTGCCTGGTCCTTTTAACTGGAGGTGCTGGGGATTGAACCTGGGACCTTCTGCATGCCAAGCACCTTGCAGGGCTCTACTGGGAGCAGGAGCTGCTTTGCATATTAGGCCACACACCCCTAGTGTAGGCAATCCTCCAAGAGCTTACAGAGCTCTTCTTATTGAGGCTACTGTAAGCTCTTGGAGGATTGGCTACACTAGGGGTGTGTGGCCTAATATGCAAAGGAGCTCCTGCTACCAGTAGAGCCCTGGATTGAGCCACAGCCCCTGTCTATGTCTCTCCAGGGTCTCAGGCTGAGGTCTTTCAACTTCACCTCCTGCCTGGTCCTTTTAACTGGAGGTGCCGGGGATTGAACCTGGGCCCTTCTGCATGTCAGGCAGATTCTCTACCACTGAGCCACAGCCCCTGTCTATGTTTCTCCATGGTCTCAGATAGATGTCTTTCACTTCACCTCCTGCCTGGTCCTTTTAACTGGAGACGCCGGGGATTGAACCTGGGCCCCTCTGCATGCCAAGCAGAGGCTCTGCCACTGAGCCACAGCCCCATCCCCTTGCTTTATACCAAATTAGACCTTCAGTCCACTAAAGTCAGTATTGTTTACTCAGCCTGGCAGCAGCTCTACTGGTCTCTACTCAGAGGTCTTTCCCATCTCCAACTACCTGGTCCTTTTACCTGGAGATACCAGGGATTGAACCAGGGACCTTCTGCATGCCAAGCAGGTGCTCTTCCACTGAGCCACAGTCCCTCTTTTCACCTTCAGGGGCCAGAGATCAGTACTCAAGGGGCTGTACTTGGTCCCCAGTTCCCCAGTTGCTGATCCTTACTCTCAAGACAGGAAGATTAAGTAGAGGGCAGCCTGTGGGTGCTTTGAGGATGGTCTTGGCTTGGTACCAGAGGACTACCTTCTCTCCTTGGCCCACCGGTCCTTTCCAGCATCCCCCCATTCTTCCCTGACGCAACGTGTACTGCCCCTTTTAGCAATTCATCCTCCGAAGTCTGAAACTCAGGCTAGCATTCCCAGCAACTCATCTTAGAGCTGGGCAGGGGATCCAATTGAGTGTCACAGCATGCACGCCCACTGGGCTGAGTTAAATATGAAATGGCGACCACCTTGCCACACCCCTCAAGAGTTTGCTCTCCTTTGACACTGGAGCAGGTCGTCTCCAGCTCTGAGCCAGGCCTCCCTAAGCAAAGGTGGAAATATTCTGAACGTCACAAAGCGTAACAAATGGCAACTTGTTGAATCCCATGTCTCCCTCTAGTGTTGCCAGTGCCAGAGCGGGGAATCCTTGAAGATTTGTGGGTGCAGCCTGGGAAAAGCGGGATTTGGGGAGGGAACTCAGCGGGGGTATGATACCATAGAGTCCACCTCCAAAACAGCCATTTTCCATATAGCCTGGAGAGCACTTGTAATTCTGAGAGATCTTATAAGAACATCAGAAGAGCCCTGCTGGATCAGACCACTGGTCCATCCAGTCCAGCCTCCTGTCTCACACAGTGGCCAACCAGTTCCTCTGGAGGGCCAAAAACGGGACAGAGAGGCCGAGGCCTTCCCCTGATAAGAACCTCAGAAGAGCCCTGCTGGATCAGACCAGTGAGGGTCCATCTAGTCCAGCCTCCCGTCTCACACAGGGGCCAGCCGGTTCCTCTGGAGGGCCAACAACAGGGCAGAGAGGCCGAGGCCTTCCCCTGATAAGAACATCAGAAGAGCCCTACTGGGTCAGATCAATAGTCCATCGAGTCCAGTCTCCTGTCTCACACAGTGGCCAACCAGTTCCTTTGGAAGGCCAACAACAGGGCATAGAGGCTGAGGCCTTCCCCTGACAAGAGCTTCAGAAGAGCCCTGCTGGATGAGACTAATGAGGGTCCATCTAGTCCAGCATCCTGTCTCACACAGGGGCCAACCAGTTCCTCTGGAGGCCCAACAACAGGGCATAGAGACTGAGGCCTCCCCCTGATAAGAACGGAAGAAGAGCCCCGCTGGATCAAACCAGTGGTCCATCTAGTCCAGCCTCCTGTCTCACACAGTGGCCAGCCAGTTCCTCTTGAGGGCCAGCAACAGGGCAGAGTGGCCAAAGCCTTCCCCTGATGTTGCCTCCTGGCACTGGGATTCGGAGACTGGCTGCCCCTGAACATGGAGGTTCCCTTTAGTCACCATGGTTAGTAGCCACTGCTAAACCTCTCCTCCATCTCCAGGCCCCACCTGGAGGCTGGCAACTCTACATTCTATGCAGGGAAGAAGCAGGTCAGAGGAAAAGGAAAGAACCCATGATCC